AACACTTAACCCATCAAGAAAGATGATTAAATAAAAGTATTTTTCTGAATTCACGGTGAATAATTACAGAATGGAATCCATTTTCCTTCCAGGAAGTGGATCATTTATGTCATTATCTTTTCTTGTAAGGTTATTAGGTTTAAAAGGTTTTTTCTTGATAACAGAGAATTCCTCAAAGATGAGCGACAACAACTTGAACTTAAAGGATAATGGGTCCATCCCTTTACCTTTCTTCACTTATATTCCAATTTTTCAAATGATTTGAGTATCTTCCAAACGAGTGAGGATTCATATAGCCGACGTCAACTAATTCGAAATTGAGTTGGTAGTTATTTTTGGTTTCAGGTGCACCAATTGTTCATTGCATAAACAACAGCAATTCATAAATGCACATTGGAATTTATCTCGTAAGAGACTGCTAAGTTACGCGGACACATTCGAATTTATCTCGTTAGAGGCTGCTAAGTTGCGCAGACACATTGGAATTTATCTCGTTAGAGGCTGCTAAGTTGCGCGGACTCTTCACTTTCGATGCTGCACCCGTGTCATACACTACTTTTGGAGAATCCGACCCACACCCGTTGACATTTTTAAGAGTCCGAGCAACATTCACTTAGAGCTATCAATACGGGAATTGATTAAAAAAAAAAAACTTACCTATCTTCACTTGAACCTGAGTTTTCATTCCGAAACACCCTTCCAACTACACCCTGCAAAACAAAACAAAACAAAACATAACATATTCAGTCACACCTAGTTACACATAATCAAAACATTGATCATCAGCCATCCACACTATCTTTTTTTATAACCGCGGTGTCTAGGCCAGCTTATGCAAACTCGACTAGTTCCACAAGATACATTTCACCTTCCACCAGCAGCATGTACCAGGATTTGAACCTCACACTTGATGGTGCTCTCATTGACCACTAGGCCACACCCTCGGGTATCAACCATCCATACTACATTTTCCATGAAATAAAAAGGCACCCATTTTAGGAAACCAAAAAATACCTGATACTTCGCAACTAAATCCATCCGTCTATAAGCTGATCACAATTCTTCAAGTTCTGGAATACATGAACAAAAAAAAAATAAAAAATCCCCTCTATTAACAATAGCGAACATTAGGGTCAAACCCAAATCTCAAATTCACAAAAAAATCAAAACTTAATGAGAAATTGACATTAATTTCGATAATTTTTTCTATGAAATTCAAAACTATAACAAAAGACTATTGACTTTACCAGAAAATCAACGAGAAGGAACAATTCAAAGCTCAAAAATACCGTTTTCTCTGTATAAAAGAAACGAATAACGAAAAGCTTAAATAGGCTATGGTGTTGTGAATTTACCTGAGACAAAAGATGAGATCGCAGAGAAGAAGTGAAGAAAGAGGGAAAGAGACGGAAATAGAGAGGGTCGGGTCAAAACTTTAAAAGGGTATGGACTGGATTTGAAATGGGCCCGTGTTTACTTGGGCCGAACTGGATTTCGCGACCCGAATTGTAGCATTAAAATTTGGGAAATTTTTGCATATAGCCACTCTAAATAACTTAATTAGGCTCTATAGTTATAGTTTGCTAATTATGATCCGTAGCTACATGTTAAGGGAGGAGAGAGACAAGCGAGATTAGGAGAGGGAGAAGAGAGGCGAGCGAGAGAGGGCAATAATTTGTATAATTCGCATCTCGTTTGTATAATTCGTGGGTACGTTTGTATAATTCATGTGTATTTGTATAATTGAGTAATACAAATTATGGAATTATACAAATATGATAAAACTCGAAATAAAGAATTGATACAAACATAAACATATGAACTTAAAACAGTTATACAAATTATATTATACAAAATCTAAGAACTACACATTTATACAAACGTTAAAGAGTTATACAATTTTTTTTTAAAATGTATTGGTGATAAAACTGAAAAATCAAAGGAAATCGTTGTCATATATAAATACAAACCATCCTATACAAATACAAATCAAACGAAGAATTGTTAGTTGCGATTTATACAAATGTTGCGAATTATACAAACTTGGACCCAACCCACTTAATTAACGGTTACTGTTAGTCGCGAGTGGTAATTATAACTATAGCTATAATGACTAATTAAGTAGTATAAATTTGCTTAACCGCGTAATTTTCCCTTAAAATTACATCATGAATAAAATTAATATATAATCAGAAGCCGAATCTAGAATTTAAAAATTTTGAGTTCTTATTAAGCTCCTAAATTAATATATAATAATGATTGCGTTCATAATCACATATTATAAATATTTAATGAAGGTCCTATACCAATGTTAATCACGATCCTCATGTCAACCCATAAACTATGCTATAGATGCATCATTGTATATAGTGGCGAGACATAAATTTTATTAAGAATTGTTAAAACATTAAAAAGAAGATTAAAAAAAAAAAAGTCAACATATTGTATTAATACACAAAATAAAGTTTTTAAGCTAGCCGAATAATGTTATATTCTGGAGTAGTGATAGATAAATTTCACTCTCTCCTTTTCAATTTATATATGAGATATTGTTTGACTGAACACAATTTAACGAAGAAGTATCATCAATTTTTTTTAGACTTATGTCTTAAATATGACTTTGTAGCTATATAAATCTTATTATTAGGAGTTATATAGAAAAATCAGGTTAACTTACCGGAATATACCTTGAGTTAATGGGTTTATAATTTCATTGCTGGAAATATTTGTTTGAAAACTTTACTTTAGGATTCCTATTCAAATTTGCATGTTTATATATCATTTATTGGAATTTTATACTCCTTCTGTCCTATAATATATCTTTCACTTTTTAAGTGTAAAATAAAGTAAAAGGTTTCAGCAAATTTGTAAATGTCTTATGTCATATTGTTGAAAATGGAAAAAGTTCACTTGTTGAAAATAGACCAAATTAACTTGTGTTTCTGGCTAATTACGATTATTATTATTACGCGTCATAGTGTTTCTAATAAAGTAATTTCTAATTTATCTGTCATAAAAATATCGATAACAAAAAAAAAGAAAAACTATCAAATAAACTAAGGATATCATCAAAAAGTTGTCTTTGCTCCTACTTTTGCTAATACGTCCACTATATCCTATTTTGCTCCTTAGCTTAAAGTTGTAGCTAAGCATAGGATCCCAAGTTGCCTACGTCGTTAAATTTCTCGTAACTAACTGAAGTTTATGATAATTTATCAATTCATCGATAAATAGAATTAGCGATAAAATTTATTGTCTAAAATTTTTCTGTCGCTAATTCTTTGTTTTTAGAGTATGATTACCTCATGCAAGTCAATGCATGTTTCAAAAAAATAATTATGGTTGTATGTTTTCATTTTATAGAAAAAGGTATCTAAAAATGGAAGTATCTAAAACAAACCATAGAAACAGAAATAAAGCAATAAACATAATGTTTCTGAAAATAGAATATTTACATGTGCAGATCTAAACTCCAACTACCAGCCATTTACTATCTTATTCAATTCAGCTCTAGACACAATATTTCACAAAAGAAGTAAATAAGATACCATAGAATATAAGTAACTAATTAATTAAAAGGAAAAATTTTAGCCGGGACAAAAATGCTAGGTGATTTCTTCCTATTTGTTCTAACTTAAATGGACAAAGTTATATATCTAATATCTAGAAATTAATCGAGGTACGCACAAGCTGACTTGAACACCACGATTATTGAAAAAAAGAGAGGAAAAACATGGGTTTTTTTCTTCATGATGAATAGAATTTTGTAGATATATTGTTTTAATCGATTAAACTCACATGCATGTTTTTCTATAGTACATATAAGCAAGTCATATATATTTCATTTAACAATAAGCTCTAGCTACATTATAAATAACAATATATAATTATAAATTATTGGAAATTAAGTAAAAATTACTATAATCTTAAGCTAACAATAAAGATAAAAGACATTGACTAAACTACAAAAAGAAAAGTCTCTTTCAATTCATCAAAGTTCATGTTACGTATTGTTTGTCTTGGTCCATCAAATTAAAGCTTATAAATTTGTCTTTCGAATATTATCGCGATAACATACGTCTTCGTGTATTATGTCACATGCTTTATACAATTCTTTATTTTTCTCTATTCTGATGACATTCGTCTAAGGTATAACATGCACAACTTCTTAAAAAAAAATTCAATCCTTGTCTGTCCTTCTGTTCAACTCGTCCTTTGTCATGGGCGTCATGTCACACTCATGAAGAAAAATATTTTCTAAGCAACTTTTTGGTAAAAGAATTCATGATAATTGGAGAAAAGATTGTTTTTTTTGGGTGATATTATTCATGGACTATACGTGCAATTATGAAATAATTAATGAGCTTCATTTTTTCCAATTTCTGTTGGATGGTCTTAATCTTGATAATTGAGAGGCTAACTGATTTTGCAGCTTAATTTAATTCTCTTTGTACCAATCCCAGAAAACAAAAATCTTCAAAGCATCCTTACAAAATTAAAATTGTTTTTTTCTCATTTGAATTATTACAACCACACATGATTCCATCACTTATGCTACCAAAGTATCTCAAACACAAGAGGGAACAACAACAACATATTAAGTATAATTTCACGAGTTGAGTCTGAAAAAAGGTAAGACGTACATAATAGAGAGATTATTTTCGATAGATCAGAACTTCAACTTAGAAGAGAGAGATTTATAATAATTGTATTTTTTTTTTCAAATTGCAAAATATGTATATACTGATATTTGTTTCAATCACATGGCAATAATTTGGATGCATAACAATTACCAAAATGTTCACACAAAAAAAGAAGCTATAGCATCCCAGAATTACCTACTATAGAAACAAAATTCAGGTCATCACCCAAAATACCTAAAAAATTCCAAAATGTAGAATTTTAAATAATTGTATGATTCCAAATCACTTCTTTTAATTATCTATACCCCATATTGTTGCAACTACTAGCTATTACTACTTATAATATCCATCCATCTATCATCATTCATCACCAATATATATTAAAATTAGAGTATATAATAAGGTCCAAAATGAAGAATCTCTTTTTTTAACCAGCCAAATCATGAAGAAGTTGTGCCCCCATCAAGTTTCTATATGGCAAATTCTGATTTTCACTATCCAAAAGTGATGAATATTGAACTTGATCATCATCTCTTGGATAAAAAAGTGAACTTTGATTATGAGATGGTTGTGATGAAAATGTAGTTAACCCCATTGATGATCCACCACTTCCACCATGTTGTTGTAATCCCAATGTTAAAGAAACACCCCCTCCATGATGATGATGATCACCACCACTAGTACCATAAGCAATATTTGTTGAAAAATCTAGCTCAATCGCGCCAAACGATTGATCTCCACCTCTAATTACTCCATAGTTTTGATCATTTTTCTCATGAGGTTGATGATTTATGATGGAAGATATGCATTCAGAGTCAATTCTTACAAGATTTGGCTTTTGATCTTGATGATGATCAATGTGTGATTGATGAATTGTCATGTCATCAATTAGGGCTTTTGATCCATCTGGAGATCCAACATTTTCTTCTTCTTCTTCTTTTGTTTCTTCTATGTACATTTCTTCCACCATTGGCTTCCATAGCCTTACCCTTGCATTAATGAACCAATTAGACACCTGCCCAAAAAAAGAAAAATCCATTGAATCTTACATGCATGACATGACTTTGTAAAAACACAAATACTTCAAAGTTATAGATACTGACAGTATAAACAATTATAAGGTAACTACTATATGTACTAGTAAAGAGTATAAGTTCTATATACTGACGATAAAGATTCACACTATCAGATCACTTAAAAGATAACTATAAGTACAAATGTAACACAATCTTCTATAATATGTCAAAACTCTCATAAAAAAGATCTTTATATTGTCATTCTATTAGTGCATATAACTTTAACTCGATATTACATCTCTATGATAAGGAAATGTGTGCAACCTGATAAAAAATATAATTAACTAGTTGATAATGTAAAAAATCTTTTATATTGTCACTTTGTTAGTGCATATAACTTAAACTCGATATTACACCTATATCATTAAAATGTTATGGTGGAGAAAAGGACATGCCTGGCTTCTTGAAAGACCAGTTTGGCGAGCTAAAATGTGTTTATCAACATCACTTGGGTACCTGCAAGAATATTGTTTCCATAAAGAAAGTAAATATAAATTGTACTTATACTATAGTTTATAATAACATATATATACATTGTACTTTCTATGTGATGTAACAAAATAAAATCCACAAAAATTCTATAGACAGAGTAGTTATGATAGAGCATAGTTAAAACCGACAAAGGAAAAAAGAAAAAGGAGTTACTGTAACAACAAATTGAGAGTAACTCCCAAGATATTTAGCTATTTTTGTAAACAATGATTGATGGCCCATAGAAAGATCCTTGACACTACAACTACAAGTGGGGTTATATATAAAAAAAAAAATTAAAAATAAAACTTTGATTCTTTCTCAGTAAATAATAGCCGTCACTCAAAATAATAGCGCTAAGATGTATAATATACAACAATAATAGCATATTTTGTGTAATCCACAATTGGAGTCTAGATAGAGAGACTGTTCCAATAGATCCTCAACTCGAATAATAAAACAAATACAAGAACGAACAAGCCATGGTGAAAAAAACAAGCAACAACAACAACAAATAATAATAACTTTTAAAAAATACCGATAAGAGAACTAGACAAGTTCAAATGTATAATATATAAAAATTATACATAATTTATATTTAACCGACAGCTAAATGTGTAACTTGCCTATATATATATATATATATATAGTCTATAAGTAATATATACCATACTTTAAAAAGTATAGTAAATTGAATTCATCAAATTTAAATGATGGATCGTCCGAGTGAAGAAAGTGTTCAAAGAGCACAACCACATACCATAAGTTAAAAAGTATGTACTAGTAAGTTGAATTCATCAAATTTAAATCTGGGATCGGACTTACGGGTGAAGAAAGTGTTCAAAGAGCCAAGCACGGAGAACGGAGACTGATCTTTCTGGGAGACCGCGTTGCGGTCTCCATGGATGAGTCTCCATCATATTCATCTGTTGGAAAGCCTTTTGTTGCCTTAAAGTTTGATCAAGAAGTCTGAGTCTTGGTGTTTCACCTCTTGTTGAACCAGGAATAAGAGTACTAGTACTGTCTTTTTCTCCCATAGCCATTTTTGTGGCCTTAATTTGTGCCACAATTCCATCTCTTAAACATCTAAAATGCCTTGACATAGCCCTTGATGCTAAGGCTGAGTAAACTGTTGCTGCTCCATTTCCAGCCACTGCTTCAAATGATGATACAACAGCCTTCATTTGATCACAATAATGCTTGTACCTTCTATCCACCTACACATAATCCAAAAAAATTGAATCTTTTTTTATCTCTTTTGCCTAGTGAAGTATGAACAACAACAACAACATACGTCCAAGTGGGGTCTGGGGAGGGTAGAGTACTGTATATATAGTATGTAGACCTTACCTTTACTTTGGGAGGCAGAGAGGTTGTTTCTGATAGCGTTATGAAAAAGGAGAAAAGGGTTGTAGAGAATTAATGGAATAGTGAAATTGTCACCATGTGGGCAATTAATGGAAAAGGGCCTATTCAGCCTCTCAATTAGTTCTTCAAGATTTGAACTTTAAAGTTACAACAATAAAAAAATAGAACTTTTTCAACTATTTCATGTTAAAAAAGATTGAAAGAATATATATAATATACCTCTTCAAGCATTTGAAGCAATTTTGTCTTTCTTTTTTGAAGTTCCAAAAGGTCAAGAGACTGTAAAAGTTGCTTTTTTGAAGTACTAGCAGTACTCTCATGTTGCTTTAGAAGTACTTTTGAAGAAGAATGATCATTATTCTTCTTTATTCCGAGACTACAGAACTCACTGAGCAACTCTTGAGCCGGACCTAAATATTTCGAGTCCCTAACTTGATGATGATGATGAAAATACCCTTGTTGTATATTTGTAGATTTACCCAAAAATCCATCATGTATTAGTCCTTGTTGCAAATCTTGATGTCTAAGTTCAAAAGATTGTAAACCAATACTTGATGGATTTGAGGAACAAAGAGATAATGAAAGTCCTTGACTTGGCCTTTCATTTCCTTCACAAGGGAAAACACATCTCATAGATGGATCATCAACAAGTAATGTTCTGTTATTATCGTGATGCCACGAGCCTTGATGATCATCATGATGAGTAGTTGTTGTTGTCAACATATTTTCATGACTACCATGTTGGTAAAATTGTTCACTAATGTTCTTAGAAGACGAAGGACCATGATCATCATCATCAACACCATTGATCTTGTTAAGAAAATTACCTTTCCACAACACATGATGAGGATTATTGTTGTTTGGTGGAAACCCTATCATTTGATCCATACTAGAAGTAGTACTACTCAAATTGTACATCTCTGGATTTGTTTCAAAATTTTGCAACTGATGATTCACCATATTATGTGGTGTTGGATTAGGATTATTTGTATCTGATGAAAACCAATAACCAGTACTAGTAACCATTGATGATGATCTTGGTTTAATCTCTTCGCGAATACTTTCTCGATGATGACTAGCCATCTATATATACATATAAAGATCTCAGCTTTATAACTCTTTAACTACTTTCATGATTCTGCAACAAACAAAAATCCCATCAAGATCTGCATATCTTTTATTAAAACAACCCAAAAATGGTAAAAAAACAACATAGGTAGAGTGAAGAACATCAAAAGGCAAAGATCAAGTGAACTACAAATATATTTTACCTTTTTTGAACAAAAAAGATTGAAGTTTTACTCACTCAAGTGTTTGTACCAACATAGATGACTAGTTTAAAACTTCAAAACAAGAAAACAAAAGGTAAAAAAAAAAACATCAAATGAACTAAAAACTAAATGATTGAATTTTTCCACATAGATGACTAGTTAAAAACATCAAAACAAGAAAACAAAAGGTAAAAATAGATCAAATGAACTAAAAACTAAAAGGGGTTTTTAGTTACCATCAAAGTAAGCTTTTTTCAACAAAAAGATTGAATTTTTACTCACTCAAATGCTTATATATACCAACATAGATGACTAGTTAAAACTTCAAAACAAGAAAACAAAAGTTTTAAAAAAAATGATCAAATGAACTAAATACTAAAAGGGGTTTTTAGTTACCATCAAAGTTACCTTTTTTCAACAAAAAGATTGAATTTTTACTCACTCAAATGCCTGTAGACTAGTTAAAACTTCAAAGCAAGAAAACAAAAGGTAAAAAAAGAAGAAGATCAAATGAACTAAAAACTAAAAGGGGTTTTTAGTTACCATCAAATTTACCTTTTTTGAACAAAAAGATTGAATTTTTACTCACTACCAACTTGTTTTTGCACATAAAACATCAAAACAAGAAAAGAAAAGGGAAGATCAAGAAATGAACCTTTTTTTTCTTTGTGTTGTTTTTTTCTCAAACAAAACAAGAAACATGGTGTACTATGAAAAAAACATCCTTAGAAATTAGAGAGGATGATGAAGATCAGATGAAGGAGAAAACATTATGGATTTTCCAGAGGTTAAGGAGAGAGAGAGAGAGTTGCCTAAGGGGGAGTGTGATGATGACTTGTAAGCCATGTTTTTTCATTGATATATGCTTTTTTGCTATTACTTTCTCTCTCTCATGCAAAACAAGATAATCAATACGTACAAAATAGACTTCTTAGAAAGAAAATCAAATCAAATTAAAAACACCCCTCTCCCTCTTCAATAATTAATCCTTGAACCAATTAAAAGACGACGTAAAATGAATTCAATCAACGACAATAACATATTCAGTATAGTCCTACAAGTGGAGTCTAATGAGGATAGTGTGTACCCTATCTTCAATATATGATCTAAGTTGTTATACTAATATTCCGACCTTCTTTGAAATATTTTTTTCTTGAGTCCAGAGTCTATAAAAAGCAGCATTTCTACCTCTACCCTCGTCAGATCCTACTTGTGAGATTACATTGACTATATTATTGTTGTGGTAAGTTATACTAGTATTCTTTAATTGACACTTATAATTCATTTTACTCCTAATAACGCACTTTTTCTGTTTCAAAGTGTATGTCAATTTCTCATTTCAAGAGTAAATTTGACTAATTTTTGTAGCTTATAAATTGGATTTGATCAATTGATCAATATTATAAAAGTAAAATTTAGATATTTAAACATGGTACGAAAAATACTATAAGTTGCAATTCATCTCATGTCAATGCAAATATACATTTAAAATTATTGATCAAAATTCACATAATTTAAATCTCGAGAAATAAAAAGCGATAGATAGGATCAAAGAGAGGATTTCATAGACACAAATATCATATCATGTTTAAAATCATATCATGTTTAAAATCATATAAGTTACGACAGTCTATTTTTTATTTATTTTTTACCTTCAATATTTAGTCAACCATTTTCACATAAAATAGTCCAGAAAAAGTACTATATAAAAATTCCAAACTAGTTTTTTTTTATTTCTGGAGATATAAAAAATGTGATTTTGGATATAGGACTATGAGTTAGAATATTTAAAAGATCATAGTCCTATATTACAACTTCCAAAATCACATGTTTTAAATTTTTTTGTTCTTGATTACTATACTTTATACTATATAATATAATAATCTTGAAACCCCAAAAACTCATTATGTCATTATTGGTTAATTGTGTGTGTGTTTGGGGGTGGGGTGGGGGGGAGGAGGGGTTGTGAGTACCAAAAATAAAAGATTACAAATCCCAAGAACTGAAGCTAAGCTATAGTTTGTAACCAGGCTTTTTCAGATAGTGTTTTTTTTTTCACAAGTCTGTTTCCTTCATTTGTGGGGCTATAACTATCTGATCAAAAATTCCAAAACTAGACCTTTTTAGAACAAGATTTTTGAGGGGGGTGGGGTGGGGGTGAGGTATGTAAAGACAGAAAAGAGTAAGAAGAGTCAGCCTACTACTGGTTGGAATTAGATGCCATTAACATTGTGGCAGTGCAAAAATATTCCCAAAACTATGGCCCTATTGTCATCAGATGAGGTGGTCCTTTTTTCCAACTAATTCTAATTAAACACACCCCACCCCCCTTATATTAAAGCCACCCACCAATCTTTTTTCTCTACAATTTTTGGGACCATCATCTTTTTTACCCTTCATATTTTCTCAGTTTCTCATTGATTTTACAAAAAGATAATTGAGTGAACAATTTGGTAACTCTAACTAGAGAGATAGCTTAACATTGGGATGGTTGATTATCTTCTCACACTTTATATTTGCTGGCAGGACAGATTCAAAATTTAAACTTTATAGTATTTATGACTCTAATGGCAACACATGACATGTGGATGATATGATTCTCGAGGGGTTACATGATCATGTGATGATACATCAAATATAGATGCAAGGGTGGATGATTCAGTAGGTCCTTGTATGAATTGATTGTGTTCAAATTCATTTTTAACATAAGTACTTAAATCACTTTTTATTCATAAATATAGTTCATAGAATTTAAGCTCGATTTATATTATACTTATCAAGTTTGTCAATACTTGAGGTGCTACATATATGTTAGTGTAAGATATCAATGATGAAAAGTTAAATAAGAAGCTTCTAGTGAGATAGAGCTACTTGAACATCAATATTATTATTCCACACAAATAAAAAAAGAACTTGCAAGATATTTTCAGAAACATGTCAAAAAGAATCTTAAATATTGGTTAAATTAGCGCTTCAAGCATTTTCAATGTGTGGACAGTGGACACTAGAGATATTTCTATAAGACAAAGGACATAAAGAAATCAAAACAAAAAAGATTAAAAGGCCAACATGAGACTAATAAAACGGAGCCATAAAACAATAGTAACATTAATGTCTTTGTGTGATATCTATAGCCTATAGTTCACATGTTTAAGTCGTAAAATTAGATATTGTTATCTACGTTAAGATAGGTTGCCTACATTACATTCTCTTGAGGTGCACACCCTATTACAAATCTTACGTGAATACAAAATGCTTTATACACAAAAAATATCTTTTAAACTTGAGATTAATCTGATGCTTGCGTCAGAATAGACTATCTACAAATATTACGCTCCCTTCAAATGCAACTCGTTCACTACTAAAATATCATTATTTTTCCATTGATATTTCCCATAAAAAATTGTTCAGCGGCTATTTTTGTAGATATTTTGATTGAATCGGTGGAAAAAGAAAAATAATAATGCTTTCATAGGAGAAATTAGGAAGTCTCTCGTTATTTCAATGAAAATTTGTTTCTTACCATACATTTTTCATTGAGCTGGTTAGATGGAATATAAATAAAAATTCATGCTTTATAACACAAATTTTTAACTGATTCATGATTAAAAAAAATCGTTATTTCTATTGATATTTCTTGAACATATAATGCTTCGAGCATCAGACTATCCCTTTTTAACATGAGACTAAAATATTTTCCACGACTTGGAGAAAAAGGAAGTAAAATTCTTATTGGTTATACAATATGGTTAATGAAAGAGGGGGCCAAATATTTTTTTAAAAGACAAAAGTAATACTTGTTGGAAAAAATCACATGATGAATTTGGTTATATTTGGGTTAGTATTTTAGCTAGCTAAGAATCATACCCAGTGGGGATGTGCCCACGCTTAAATCACGTGCGTGGACCTCACTACTTTTTTATTCCTAACTTTATTTTTTTGTCTTTTAAAGCCAAAGTGGTCCTCTTACAAAACTTTAATTTCTTCGCCGCTTGTTATTTCTTCCGTCTCATATTTATTATTTTTAGCTTTAATTATATAAAAAAAATTGATTTTATTTATAAATATATCAAGTAATTTGCATAGTAGTGGATTTAAGATTTTGGAAATTTAAAAATTTTGTATTGTGATTGTTCTTTCTTAAAAATTTTGTAATTCAAAGACAAAAATTGGATTATAATTATTGAGTTTTGTTGAATTTGGAATGTATTTTTATAAAATAATATTATTGAGAGATAATTGTTTTGTCTTATATAATATTTGGAAAATTATAAAAAGGAAATCGAAAAGGTGTTTGGCTTACAATCTGGTCCATTTTTCAACTTGAAATAGAGAAAGTGAAGTTTGAAAAATTGATTTTAATTAAGGTGTATTTCAAGTAAAATCATAATTTTCGCTCACAAAATTTGAGTTCTTTTCTACTGAAATTCATGCCTAAATACAAAAATACCTTTTTCATCTTCGATTCACTTTCAAATATTTTCGTTTTTTAAACATCGAACAAATATTGCTCAAACGCCTTGAAATTCTAAATTCATATCTGATCTATATAGAGAGAGAGAGAGAAAGAGAGTTACACGAGAACTCATTCTATTTAACACAAAACTCATATCATTTAAATTCTGAATAAAGCGACTCTACCTACTATTCTCAATGCCTTTAATTTGTGTACCCATAGGTGTATATTCCATTTGAGGGTATATATTTATACATATAATAGTCACGAGAATGATGGTACAAGTGACATCATGTGATATAGATATATGCGCAATTTCGATAATTGGAAGCATAGTGTGCGTTAACAACTTTTAATTTTTCGATTCTCACTTAACTCGTTATTTATATCAAAGTCTGGCTAAAATTAATT